GCAATCTTTGGAGGACATGCAGGCCTTCTGCCTCCTGGATATCCAATATACATTAAGCCTTGCTTATTTTACTACATCCCTGTCTCCAATTAATTTGCTTTCTTTGTGACCATCAGCAGAGCTACAATTTTAATTTCAGGACCGTGTCCTAAGCCCCGATTCACTGACGGTTGTTTTCCTTCAGCCATTGAGTCAGTTCTGACTCATAGCCACCCTGTATAGCCTTTCTGAGGAGTGCTTGATGGGTTTGAAGCAACAACCTTATGGTTAGCAGTTCAGTGATTATCCTACAGCACCATGCCAAGATTCCATAGCAATTTATACTCCATTATTTCTCCAAGGATTGACAGAGACTAGCTAAAGACAAAATCTGTAGTGTTTGCTCCCACACCCATTTTCTCCTCCTCAGAAACTGGAACTCTTTCTGAAGCTATGAAACTGGAACACACAAGTGCAGAACAAAATTTTATTTCACTCTGAGGTCTCAGGCCATGAAACAGACAGATGAAGTTGAAATGAGCAGGGGGAGGAGGGAAGATAAAGGAGGCTCAGTATGAGAGGTCCTCTTGCACGTATGGGAGAGAATATTTCCTTCCTGGGTTGGTTTTCACATTATGTTTCAAGTTCATAGTAATCAACCAGATGCAACTGCTCATTTTCACTCATTCTAGCCCTTGAACTTGCAGACATAGGGCAACTTCACATCACAGTTAAAGTCTTTCCATTTCAGGTATCCTGGAGAAACAGAGATATAAAGTGGATGGGACTGGTAGAGTTTGTGAAGCTCATGGTGATTCCTGTCCTTCATCTTCCCCAATTTTGCTCTCAATGAAAGAGATACAAAGAAAGGGGAAGTGAGAACAAATGGGAAAAGAAAAAGCAGCGTAGTGTTTTTCAGCATTGTATTTTCTAGCATGGTCCTTTCCCTAATGTCAGGTCATTAGTGAATGGAGGAATTATGGGGGAGGGGGAGGAAAGTAGCTCTGCTATTTCTTACCTGTGTTTCTCGATAGGGTTGCACAGGGTTCAGGGTTTGAAATGGTGGAAGGATCTCTTTCCCAGGCAGTGTAACTCATCAGGTCATCGTTAGTCCACTCCCAACTATCTGCACCTTGTTCACCGACCTATAGAGTAACAGAAACAGTCAAGCAGGGGAGTGGCCCATA